AGTAAGGATCACATGGTGTACCAGTCCCTTGGACTAATTGTTTCCATGTGTCTTTGGTTTCCTTCATTCTTCTTTGTTCTGGATGAGGAGAGACCCATCATTGCATCTAGATGGCGCTTGCAAACTTTTAAGTTCCCAGTCACTACTCACCAAAGGAGGCTGTAGAACAATGTTTTTGTGTAGTATGTTATGCCAGTTGAGCTTGATGTCCTCTGCAACCATGATCCCAAGCCCACAGGTTGAACTACTCACTCCCTCCAGGTAGCTGCCCGTGGCCAAAAAGACACCAGAAACTTCTCCTTTCTCAGCTCTACTATATACCTGGACATTCTTATAGTATATACAAATATGCATGTAGAAACATTGTCTGCTAACCCTATACATGGTCATGGGCACACTGCCCCCTGCCTGGACATATCTGAATATCTGATCGTTCAGCCTGTTCATCCATCTATGCACCCATAGATCAATGCTTGCCATCACTGATAATACAGTACTGTATGTGCAAAAGGGTTCATCTTTGTTGTCTGTATCTCCCATTTACCTGTCTATGTCTCCTCCTCCTCAGTGCTACCATGTTGATCACTCACATTTGGTAGATTGCCCTTCCGTTCACCAAAATCAATGTTTATCTCTACCTATCTAGCAATGTTCCCTCCCCTCCCCTCCCACCCCTGGTAACCAGCAAAAAAAGTGTCCTTCCATATACAAACCTTTCCTTGACATTTTACAATAATGAACTAATACAATATTTGTCCTTCTGTGATTGATTCATCTCACGCAGCATAATGTCCTCCAAGTTCATCCACGATATGTGGTGTTTTGTAGATTCTACTTTAGTGTTGCATAGTATTCCATTGTGCATATGTACCATAGTTTGATTATTAATTCTTCTTTTAATGGGCACATAGGTTGTTTCCATCTTTTTGCTTTTGTAAATAGTGCTGTGATGAACATGGGTGTGCATATATCTGTTCTTGTCCTGGCTCTCACTTCTTTAGGATATATACCTAGTAATGGGATTTCT